TTCACCGGAATACTGCTTCCATGAAATCTCCGGAATACCACAGAACCGGCCGTTTCCAGGACCGGAATGCTCGACCTGGGTAAAGGAAATGCACGACTAGAGATGTGCAGATGACACAATACACCATCATGCCGACGGGCATAGGCGACACTCTCTATGTTCGTCACAACTGGCAACCCTGGAAACGGACCTTGCAAATTTTTGTTCGAAGGGAATCCTTTCAATATTTAATAACAACACCAACACCTCAAATGATAATAATGTGAAAATTACTATGACGATCAAATATCCTCAATAAATGTGAAACAGCAACTGGGATGCAGACTTTATATGATTTCTGGCCTCCTCAGCAGATTAGGCGGTGTGGCCTCTGGTGGACAAACGTTGGTAAATGTATGTCAAAAATTAGACAAAATTGAATAATATTATGAATGAAATAAAATAAATAAATGAATAGAATGAATTAAAAAGAAAGTGAATAAAATGAATTTGAATTAGATGAATTCGATAACACTTAATATCAAGTAATTAAGTGGCTAATGGAAACATTTTTTTTATTAATATTAACTGTTAAGTAAAATCGCTTAGTTAAGTCTCTTAATTAACTCCAATTAACATTAACGGTACACCCCTAGTTTTTACTCTCCAAATTGTATACATAAAAACTTTCAGAGATTCAATTCCATTTAAATACGAAAATTAAGATACTTGAGCATATTTCGAATAGATAATTTTACAAAAAAACTTCGAACGGATTTCAAACTAAATTGAAATATTTTTATGTATCTATTTCATGAATAATTTTAAAAAATTCTGCTCAATTTGGTAGAACTTCAGTAACAATGAGACTTTCAGAAGAATACAAAACAAAGAAAACAAAAATCTACAAAACAAAAACACAAAAGATAATGAATTCTATTAAATATGTTAATTTTGATCGGTTGAAGCTGTAACATATTGTTTTTCATTGGTAATGTAATTATCAAGAGCTGAGCATCGACCAGCAACAAAAGTTGAAATAGCTAAAGCTGAATAGGCAAAAATAATCGTACCAATCATTGTTCGTGATGAATAGGAATTTATATGAGATGATGATCCATATTCAAAGATACCAGCTGTTATTGATAGGCAAGCAACAAAAAATAGCATTGGAATAATGGATCTTCGATTACTTATTTTTAATAGATCCCAACATAGAAATATACCACCGATTAATAAACATATCAATCCTACTAAACAAAAAATAAATGTGGTTGATTCGAATTTGAATACACATTGAACAATTTCAACATTTGTACAAAGATAGAAGAGACCCTAGAGTAAAAGAATCATCACATTGTCTATTGATCTTAAAACATAAAACTTACATTCCATTTTCGTTCAATTTTTCCGCTTGAAAGTGTACTTCCATTTTGTGTTTCTATTATCTGACTCGGCAAAATAATACTTTTTGATGACCAATGATTAGTAGTTAATGCCATGACACTAAGAATAACTCCTATGAAAGCAAAACAGGTTCCGACGAAAGACATTTTACGGTTCAATCGATCAACGTTCATGATGTTTTGTTTTCAATGTTAACAATTTATGAGAGAAAATAATAACCGAATAAATATAATTCACTTGCTTTATAAATGAAGAAAAATCGCTACAGTGCGAGAGAAAGAGAGAATAACGATTTTTTCCTTTCTCTCTCTGTATCTTCTCTTATTTATTCTTTAAGGATATAAATCTGTAACGGTCGATTAATATGCAAATTCAAAACGACGGTTAGAACAATAGAAAGAAATCGACCAGGATTGTTTTCTCTATGCTATCATTTCTTCTGACATACATGTGTTCATAATAATAAGAAGAAAAAAACTGGGTATCTTTTTTAATTGTTAAATAAGTGACATACAATATAATAGTGTCTTGTAATAATTTTGATGTATTTTGTCTCGATAGTGAGCTTTATATTTAGTCATATAGCTACGTGTATGATATATTATTTCTAATTTTGCATTTGTGCATGTTTTATGATCATTATAATATTAGAATTCTTATAGGATTCGTCTTTATACACAGCTCCATTCAATTCTTTGTACATTTTTCTACTTAAATTTCCATATCCTTTAAGATGTCTTTGGAAAATTGAACTAAGAAATGTTACTCATAGATACAAGTTGTGAAAATTCAAAATGCTTCGTTGACTTTATTCTCAAGTATATCTATTGATTAAAACAACTCGTTAGCAGTTTTAAACAAACAAATAATTTTCGATCAATTGAAGTAGCTACGCCGAAATAAAATAATGAAAAACATTTTTAGATCCGATTTTTTACTTTCCGTGAATAGCTTTATTTATTGGCATTTAAAAAAATAGATAGTAACATATCGAAAATTCAAATTCTTTTTCGGTCTCAGATTTCACTATTATCCTAATATCCACATTCCTTAGGACCACAGTAGGTCCAAAATATTCAATATTGTTTTCGTTTTTGTCGCTCTCTACAGTGAAACATTTCATGATCACAATATGCTTCAGTTTTACCCTTATAGGAAAATAATGGAAGTAACTCGATAGGAACTGTTATTATGATTCTGATAAAGAATTTTATGGCGAATACTTCGAAAAAATGCAATATTATTCAATTTATTCGCACTGAAATATTTACAGTGTACTGAATGTTATAATCATTATTACTCATCCGACATTTATACATTGATAGCAATTTCAATGTGATATATGACAAAAATTTAACTCGTCTAAGATTCTGATTTTCCATTATTTTAAATTCTAGTAAGCCTAAAAAATCGAATAAAGAGATGTCGTAGTTGCTCAAGATATTTGATCGATGCAACGAAGTTAACCTTGAAGAGTATTTTAATCATTTATTGTTTTTGTACGATAAAAAAATTGGATAATACTGAAAATATTATAATCCTCGCAATAGTTTCCTCTAGGATAGTATTTACAAAATTATGTTCTCTGTAAAGCTCATTTAATTTTACTCGATCTAACAAGTAATGGTATTGCCAATGTTTAACTATTCTGTCGTTCTCTATCTAGGCACAATCGTATTTATCACGAGAAAAACTCTACCCATGCTAATCAACAGATTCATAGAGAACGATTTTAATTGAACATTTATTTATCTCTATATGATTAATTATCTGGAATTAGTTGTAAGCAAACAAATAGACTAATGATTAGCATCGAAGAAAACATGTGTTCGACCTCATAAAAGCTACGCGAAGGATAGCATTAAAATAGTTTGAGCACAAATACTGTACAACGACGGATCTTATGAATGATATATTCCGCATCGCAATAAATATATAAATATAACTTGTGACACAACAGTTTCTATGTATACAAGAACACTTCCTCGTGCAGAACCAGTTTATGAATAAGATGTTCTCTAACTCGAACTTTCATGTAATAAAACAACAAAATTTCATTCCATTACTGGACCAATTCAATATGATTTGTTTTGCAACATTGCTTCGAAAAAATGATCAGAAGTATAAATATATTGTATACTTTAAAAATTCTTTGATCAACCAGGTGTAGCCGTGATGATGACGATTGTTGAAAAAATAGCAAAATTCTTCAGACAGAAAAAATAACATGCTTGCAATATTACAGCTCAGCGGATTTTTGGTTTGTCATGAATTCAAAAAAACAATTTTCATTTTATTTAGAAAAGAAATGTTAGATTTTTACTGTGTGTAATTTCTTTGATATTTTAAAGAGTAAAAATACAACTGTTTTTAGTGATTAGAAGTTTTCATACTTCTTCTAGATTCACAACAAAACTGAGAACAACTTTGATTTTTCCAGTCGTCATCTTTAGTGGCTTATATGAGATAAAATAATTGCATACAACGCTTGTCTTCTAGCTGATGACAAGGCTATTCATGCGATAAATAATGCAAGTTGTTTCTTCTTTATTTTTGGCCACTAAAACAACGTTGTCAACGTTACTTTTTTTCTAATTTCACCGAACGAAAAAACTTTTCTGTTGAAACCAATCACTTCTGTGCACCGTCTGAAATATTCATTGAAAGACGCGAGACTCTTGGCTGATTTATAATTCGATAGTAATAGATCTGCGAACATTCTCAGTCGGTTAGTAGAATCTTTATTTTTTCATTTAGAAAAACAAGAATAAATCTTCAATGTTATAGTCTATTTTTGATAGGTTACATCAACTATTTGCCTATCAACATCAATTAGCTACGAGAAATATTTGAAAATATATCTACTGACCATAAAGAATACAGAACACCAGCAATATTATGGGATACAAACGTAAGGCTATACATAAAAATTTTACCAAATTATTGTTTATTTAATTTTAATTGAACGCTCATTGCTCGTCGTCGCTCATCGTTCGCCATTGTGTTTTCTCATTTTAGAATCTCAAGGATCAACTTCAATTCCTTCTTCAACTGTCTCAAAAAAGGGTAATTTATCTGTATTTTTATTTCATGTACGAACAATTTGCTTGATTTAAAAACGCTTCCGATATGTTCTTCAGTTTTCTGGTGCATTTTTAGTTGTTTCTCACTATTTTCTAAACATATACGACATGAAAGCAACAAAATCTAGTAGTGTATTCTTGTAGTAATGAATATCCGAATTTTAATTTGATCAAGTACGAATAAAACGAACCAATATTTATGTTTAGATATTTGGCTAAATCCTAAATATCATGACAACAACCAACAAACTATCTGCAAACCTAATGAACTGGAATCCTTTTTATGCAATCCTCCTCAGCCTGTTGACAGAAAACTGCTCAATCGTATTCTAGGTTCTTTGATTGGTTTAGCTTTAGGCGACGCTCTCGGTGCTCATGTAGAATCTAAGCCTCATGAATACATGATCGAGCATCCAGTCAAGGAACTTGACGGAGGAGGTACATGGGGTCTTGCAAAAGGACAAGTAATCTATTGGTAGAAGCGGGGATAAAAAAAATAAATATAAAATAGTGTTTTGATGATCTAGTTCACTGACGACACTTCTATGACTCTTTGTTTGGCTAGCTCTTTAATAATGCGTTGTGGCTTTGATCCATACGACCAATTAGTTCGTTACAAATGCTGGCACAAAAATGGTTATATGTCATCAACAGGAAAATGTTTTGCTATTGGATCATCAACTAGACAATGTTTAAACGTGTTCGAACAACGACAACGTGACTTTGCTCAGGAAAATAAAATTCCTTTAGAAGATTTAGATAGTTTCAATAAATTGGAGATTTTGAATAGTTTCGATATAAATTGCGGGATAAATGATGCAACTGATAATGAAGGTCTTGTGCGTCTTGCACCAGTGCCACTCTTATTTCATCAAAATCCAAAGAAAGCTGTTGAATATTCAGGTCTTAGTGCTAAAATAACTCATGGCAATCAAAACGTCTATGATGCATGTCGTTTTTACGGTGCTCTAATTGTAGCTGCTGTTCAAGGAATGACGAAGGCAGAATTATTAGATCCTGACTTCTACAAGAGACATGAAGACTGGTTTGGTAGTGAACTACTTCATGAAGATGTTAGGAAAATTGCTGAAGGATCTTATAAAAGAAAAAATGGCTATCAAGATGGTATTCGATCAAAAAACTTTGTTCTTAACAGTCTAGAAGCTGCTTTGTGGGCTTTTTGGTCAGATGAAGACACATTTGAGAAAGGTGTTTTGGCTGCAGTCAATCTCGGTGAAAATACTGATACAACAGCAGCTATTTACGGGCAATTAGCTGGCGCTTATTATGGTTATAAAGAATTACCTTCTAGATGGGTTGAACATATTTACGCGATAAAATTTATTACATATATGGGTAAATGGATTGCTTATCAGAGTGAGAGGTGTTTCCATTCGGATCAATGAATTTTGATCGTTTTTAATTCAAGATTTAATCTGACCTTTAATAAAAAATACTCAACGAATTTTTCCTTTTTTTGTATAATTATGTGCTGAAAGTCTCTTATTGAATGTGACAAAGAAAAGCTGTTCTGAAAAATTAATTCGCCATCGAGCATCTTTTATAATTGCATGTAACATTATCTTTGAGCGTATAATACAAGTCTCATTATCGATATCATGCATTGGTAAAATAAAAATTCAAACCAAGAGGAAATTTTTTCTGTAATTTTGTTTGATTAAAGTTTTTCATTCTATATATATATATATATATATGAATTTTTCGTTGATCAAATGTTCAACAGATACGATAATGAAATGGTGTTAATAATGATAGTATAATCATTCAATAAGATTGAACTTGCAATTCATATTTGAGTTTTGCACATAAAGCTCATCTTTACATCCGAAAATGATTCGTTAAATAGTTTTCGAGAATATTTTATATTTATGCATGTCACGGTACAGAAGAGAATTAGTTGAGTCGAACAAGACAAAAATTGTAAAATCATTAAAAGAAAATACTTTTAAAAGAGTCTTTCGATTGTTGATTGTCATGTAATACTAAAAGCGAGTTGTCTGGTAATCGAAAACAGTATTGTAGAAAACCTACGACGCCTTCAAAATGGTGTATTACTGCATTGATTTCCCCTGTATTTCGCCGTAATCCTATAGTTCATTTTACGACCCGTGCTTTCGCTAGAAAACACTCATCTTTTTTCAGATTATTTTCTGCGTTTCTTCAGATTACGGGCATTGTCACTAGAATAACGCCGTTTTTGCCGTTTTAATCGTTTGCGACCGTTATCAATGGCGTTTTTTGTTTTTGATATCTGATTGCCTTCATCATTGCAATTCTACATACCAGTGGCAGACACTATTTACGATTGACTACGGCTTTCTATGGTTTGTATTTGCTATATTCCATACGAATGGTACCCACGAGGTGTATTTGTCTCTTTTAAAGAATGTTGATCAGCCATAGTAAACAACTTCGTGTAGAATCTAGGAAATTTTATAATCAACTTTTATGGAACCAGAATCGCGTTGAATGCAACCGTATTCATAAATGTTAATACATTGTACATATAAGTATAGTGATCAATGATCTTGATTAGCAGCTTAACCTATGTGAATCAATATACTTAGGTCTGACCAAAAGTTCTGCAACTTAAAAAAAAATTAAAGAAAAAGAGAAAATTCGAGTTTTATTTTATTAAATGTTGATGATAGTTGCCATGATTATATATATATCAAGTTGAATTCTTTCTAACAATTTGTCAAAATGTTTTTTGAACTCGCTTTCGAAGAAACTCTTTGGTACCTTGGATACCACATGAACTAATTATATTTCATTTATTTAATTAGTTAAGCTACGTTCAATAAAAATTGGTTAGCCAAAAGTGACATAGTATCAGGCCTGGCGAATATGATGGACATGATATTATATTGATTCCTTCTTCTGTCATCTAATTAATAACATTGGATCAGTATGGAGTCAACGATGATCGTCAAGCAATTCTGTACATTTTGGTCCTGATATCTCCATTTGTTTCCATATTCCATTAACAAAAGACTTCGGATAATTTTCAATATAATACTTGTGATCTACAGTCTTGCCTTTATCTACATTGAGGACTATTTTATTGAAAGAATATATTAAACAAAGTTTTGGTTAAAATCTGTCTTCATGAACAATAGTCTTTGACGATTTATCTTCAATAAGCCAGTTAGCATCATATGACTTATGACTAACCTATCGAAAATAAATCCATATCCCATCACTAGTAGTGCTAGAACGCAACTGCCATGATCGAACAAAATTTCACTGAACTTTTAAACCAATGAAATATGATTGGTCCATGTGATATCCAAGATAGCTAAACTTTTTTCGAAAGAGTTCAAAAACATTTTTAACAAATTGTTAGAAAGAATTCAACTTGATATATATATAATCATGGCAACTATCATCAACATTTAATAAAATAAAACTCGAATTTTCTCTTTTTCTTTAATTTTTTTTTAAGTTGCAGAACTTTTGGTCAGACCTAAGTATAGTCGACCGGATGAGAAAAATCTAGACATAAACATAATTAGTGTAGTCACTAGAACCGCGGCTATCTCTTAACTGGATTCTTTGACTGAACACCATAGATATTGATAAATCAGAGATAAATAAACCAAGTCAATTTTGTGAAGCTAAATCGATTATTAGCGGTGCATGTTTTCTTTTAGCTATTTTTAGTAATCATTGTGAAACTGTTGGAGACTCATTTTTGTTTGATATAGAATAAAAGTCTTCTTTTCTGATAGTTTCATGAATAAAAGAAAACTTGGTGAGAATTCGCTTGGGTTTTGACTTGACTTGAGTCGAAAAATTGCTGACTCGACCATCTCTACGCTCAACCAAATAATTCAAATAAAACGCAATTTCCATATCAAAGTACTAAAAAAGGGAATTATAGTGAGATAACGACTAAATTTTACGATCCCAATCGATCTGAACGAATCAACTGAAAACAGCCCCAATGTTATCTTAAACGAGCGTCTTTGTACCGTACGGTACTCGTACTGTAAAGCTTGGTAAGCATCTCGTAATCTTGCTGTATTCTATTATAGAATTTACTGTATTGCTGGCCGTGCTATCAAGAGTCAACACAGTGCTCGTAATGGATCGTGGTTTTATCGTTTATCGATCGTTCTGTTCAACCTGGGTAATAATTCTGATGAATGAGCGCCTCGCTCTTGGCGACATTTTCGTTTTCACATTCTCACTAGCTAAATTACTTTCATCAATACAAATTTTTCCATTCGTTGTTCAGAATACACAAGAGATTGCAGAAAGATAACCAAAACTCAGACCTTTTAGTTTCTTTGTTCAATATTAAAGATAAGCTTTCAATACTTATCAGTATTACACAACTTAAATTTGAATAGGTTTGATGAACAACTACGCTTTGTCTTATTTCTCGTTATGAAAAAGCTAGACACTTCCATAAAGCAATACGTTAAATTATGGACAACGAAGTTTATTCTGTTATACACAGTTAAACAGTGAGCAATAATTAAATAACAGATGTTATCATTTTCTCGAAGTCTCAAGAAAATATTTTGATGATAGTCTTTTGTTCACGGTTCAATTTACATTATCTGTGCCATATTTTTCTTTTGATAGATTTAGTATTAAAAGATTCTAAGAATGCAAAAATTGAATAACTTTGACTATAAATGTCTGCCATTCGAAATGATGTTTCTTTCGAGATAATACTTAGCGAAAGTGCACAATATATTCGTAAATCAAGATTGAAGAAATTTTAGTGATAAGATAAATATTTAAGTTTATAATGGACTATTAGATACACGAAGACGCCCTATTAGCTTCCAATAGCTTTGCCCATTGTTTATTTTGCAATAAAAATCGTCTTCAATCAGTGCTCGATGTTCTATAGATAAATCGTTTTCATGCATTGGTATTTTATATAATGGTTCATATAATGTTCTAGCCAAAACGTATGTTACTTCACGTCCACCAAGTTTTGACTTGATAAATTCATAAAGTCGTTTTTGAAGTTCATACTCAGGATGATCAATCGGCGGTAGTCCACTATATTCCAAGAGTTTTCCATTAACACTTATCCATAATGGTAATGTAGGATCAGTTCCATCATGTCGTGCTAATTCTTCTTCAGAGTACAATAGATTGTCTGGCATAATTGTAAATGATTGAAGCGTATGAGGCTGTTTTCGAGGTATCACTGCTTGTTCATATTTAAGTTGATTTATATATTCTGGTTGAACTTTATAGTATTCACAACCTTTCACTATAATATCTATATAGCGTTCACTTGGAAGACCAGTAGATTGATTATCTATATTCATTTTATAAATATAAACTAGATGATTTTGTTCTTGATAATTAATTGAATCAGTAACAATTCGATGATAACTAAGCTCTATTGCATCTAAACGACTCATTTGCTCATCGGAAAGAAGATGAACAACTCCATGAAGTTCACTTCCCGAGTAATGTTCAATATCAGCCATTCCGCCGGATGCTCGGAAAACAATTTTATGATCAGGACATTTTGCTGGATAGGAAATTAACGGTATTATATCGCGAAGAAAAAGTGAAACAGGGTTAATCATACTACCGATAGCAAAATACCATAGGAACTTTTGTCCATCAGGTAGCACAATTTCTGCTTTGTCACGAGTGTCATGTTTGAGAATCCAATCAATTATTGCTTGATCGGGGCGAACGAGTTTCGAAAGAATATTCTCGCAAGATAAGGTAAAACTAGCATCACTCAAAGATGAATTCAAATGAAAAATTTGTTCCGTCATTGTTAAACAAAACCGAGTTAAAATAAATGTTTTACTTCTTCTTATGATAGTCACTTATTTATTGTGAAATTTATCTAGAAGAAAAGAAAGAAAGAAAAAATAACAGTATGACATTACAAAATGAAACAATAAAGTCACATCATCACAAAAATTGCATATTATTCAGATAATTCTTGCTCTTGCACGCTATGGTTATAACAGTATATCAGAAAATAGCTGTCATTGATTTACTCATTTAAATAAAATAGAAAAGAAGAGAAAGTGGTAATTAGCTATCTTCAAAGCTTTTCTCATCATATCTTCGTCGTCATGTAATATAGATAGGGTGTTCAAAAGGTTCCCGAATTGATTCTATTTAAAAACAACAATAAATCGTTTTCGCGTCCGTATTCGTGCCTAGACGTAGTCGGTGCAGTCGTCTATTAATAGACATTACATGATTGACTCCGATAAAATATAGAATAAAATTCATAATAAAGCTTCTTGGTATTTGAGATTACGGTCCACTCAACAGGTGCAAGCATGTAATACCGTAACGCTATAAATTAATTGATTCTCGATTGATCATTATAGTTTTTAAATGAAGTTTTTTAAATTTGAAGATAAATTATCATCAAATGGCGACTATATTGACATTTTAAATTTATGGTACTAAACGTTTCAAATCATTTACTACAGATGACTATAATCGGTTTGATACGAAAACCATTGTTTCAAACATACATTCACTGAAGTCCATATTGGAAACAATCATTAATAGTTCATTGTTAACGTTTGAATTGATGAATTCATTTAAAAATAATAATACACATTATCTAGAGTATTGTTATTGTTAACTATCATCATGATAGCTATATTCATGAATGTTGAATGATTGCTGCTCTTTCAAAGCTTAAAAATTTTCTCAAATTCTAAATAATAAGTCGACGTGTAGCGAATATTCTAAAAAATATATTCCAATATTTTCACACTGTCTATTTCATTCAATAGAGCCAATCATATCTAAGAATAGACGACTGCATGATCAAGTTGAACTAGTTTACAGCACATCTAAATTATTTCATGCGATTAGCTTGATCAAGTTGGAGTTTTGATAAAATCATCAATGTTTTGATTTCTTTCAATTTTTGTACCATCAAACGATTTCCTAATTAATTCTATTGATTTTTCCAATGATGTTTTAAAAAGCTACTAGAACGAAGCGAATACACAATAAGCAGGATATATATTATTCGTTTTCATTTATTTATACTATCAATCTAGTAAAACATTTTATTTTTTGATTTGTACATTCGAGAATCTTCGAATTCCGCATATATCTATCGACTTGAAATGTCTAATCGATTCGAATCGGTTGTAAGACTGTTTGAATACGTTATAAAAAAAAATGAAAATTGTGAAATCTTATTGAAAATAATCTCTATTAGAAAGATGAAGAATAATTCTTCGACAACTCTGTTTAATTTAAAAGTAATGTCATTCCATTAGTCTGTATAATCAATTCAGTTTCTATGCTCAAGTAGATATAAATAGAATTAACAACGATTTTGATGTTGACTTCATAATAAGGGCAAGTGAATCTCTGTTTGTGTCAATACAAGATTTGATCAAATTACATGATTAAAACTTTTAATATAAGTAGTATAACAATTCTACCTTTTATTTTGAATGTAAAGAAGAATATTTTTTCTCATTGTTATATTGAAGAAAAGTTAAAGCTCTTAGAAGACATTGAGCCATCGGTTCTCTTTGTCCTATTGTTGTTCGATGATAATTTATTTTTAATTGATGGTCAATATCCAATGATATCTTTTTATTGTTTTCTGTATTGTTAAATATAAGATTCGTGAGAAAAAATTCTGCACTTGATTGTTCATTGCCAATAAATAAACCAAGATGTAATGCAACATCTCTTCCTGATATATGATAAACAGGTCGTTCAAATAATGGATGGCAATGAAGTAATGTATTAAATATAGCACGAATTTGTTGTAATTGTGAAACATACGTGGCTAGCTTAAGATTTGAATAACGATAAGTTGTTTCTTCAACAAGAAGAACATTTGCATCTTTTAATGGTATTGTCGAAAGACCATCGACTAACTGAATGGAATTTGTTTTTCAAAAAAATGAACAAAATAAAAATGAACAAACTAACTTGACTGAATGTTCGAAAGAAATTATATTTTCGATCAAGATCAATTTCTAATGAATTCCACTGTTTAACTTGAAATTTGTTTTTTTCTTCCGTTGTTTTTACAATAGCCCAATTGATATGTGAAGAAGTATAATCAAGACTACAAACACTTTCAATATCCTAGAGAAATTCCATTTTATTTGTTCTTTCATGAAAAAATTCATTTACGGCGACTATTTTCGATGTTAGACGAGGTTCAATACGAATTCGATGCTGTTGATTATCATTTCTTTTTTTCAATTGTAATAAATAATCAAAGAATTGATCAACTTAAATGAAAAAGAAAAGAAAATCAAACGACGAACGATTGACTTGCAAAATATTTACAATCAATTTTAAGTTTTGGTTCATTTTGAAATTGTTCTAAAGAATGAAATTTTCCTCCTAATGTACGTTTTAATTGATGAAAAACTTCTATTTGTTCTTCATTAAATATTTTCGTCAAATCTTTAGTTTTTATTCTATTAAGTTCATCAACTAAATTAATGTCCGTTGATTTTAATCGAAATGATGAATAAAATTTTATTCTTGGTACTAATAAACGTATAAATAACATTTGAAAACAAAAAATCTGCAAACGAAAGAAAAATAATTTTTATTTCTGTTCTTCTTGAAATCACATGAATAACAAATGTTTTATCAATTGAGTTTTTTTCGAAAAAAAAAGAAAAGAATAAATATGAAATAACAATAAACACGGTTTTACTCGACTATTCTGAGAACTTTCCCTACTGCAACTGTTCGACCTTCATCACGTAATGTAAATCGACCAAGTTGAGGAAAATGCTTAAATGTTTCCATACAAATCGCTTGACCTGCTTGTGATAATTCAAATCTCGCTATACCGACTTCATCTTGCTTCATGAAACGTGGATGTTCTTGAGTTCTTTCACCTGTTTTACGATCAATTAATGTTATCAATTTTTTTAATTGAACTTCAACAGCTGCTGCATGAATATGCAAAACAGCAGAATAACCAGGACATATTATTGATTTATGTTCAATTATAGCGACCTATTTTATAAGGAAAAGTAATTGATTTAGATATATTTCTGTAGCACTGTTAGATGAGTTCTAGTCATATTCATTTTTTATTGACGTTGACTTGGATTGAACTCAACACTTCGATAGCGTTAGCTCGACTCATATTCATTTAACTTTTTAAAATTTTCTTCATTTTTTATAATCAATTTTTCACTTTGTTTTAGAAACTTCGTCACAATTGAGTACACTACATCTGAATCATTGTTTGCAGCCTAAAAATATGTTTCACATTATCTATCTGTTAAGAAAATGACATGCATGTGAAATATCGCTTAATTACACAATCGATGTCTTATTTGAAAATTGACAGTGATTGCCAGATAGACTAGTAAAATAATAATTTAAGTTTTTTGCATATCAGTTCTATTTGCACATGTGTTACGTAAAAGAGTCCTTTAAAATGATATCAAAGTCTTCATCTTTTATAAAAGCTATCTTTGACGAACTTTTATTTTCTTATGCTTGACCTTTGTAAATCTTAAGATTTGTCTATAGGATACGATGATCATGTATGTATTTCATGCGAATACTCCAAAATAGTTCACTAGATTCATATTTCTACTCTAATATCTTTAAAATACAACCAAGGACTTAAGATAAGCTTGATGTTTGGTCTCTATTTACAAAAAAGAACTATTTTTTTCACTTCTCTTCATGTTTTTATTAGCCGGATTATTTCGTTTTATATGTATTCTATTTTGACTTTCGTACTTAAAAACTAATACCTAGATCTCATGAAATGAAAATAATTGTTGTCAACAGAAGCAAAGAGCGACAATATGGTTTAATTATCTTTATGTCATACCACTGTGAAATTATTCAAACTCGACACGAAAAATAGTTTGACTCGCTCAGCCCTGTCCTATAGTGAACATCGAGATTCAGAGCTTCAGGATCTACGAGTCTATTATATTCTGATTATCTCAGGTATCTCATAGTTCATGTAAAACTTGATTTTGTTCATCATTTTAAAAAATCTATACATACTTATATAAACATACGCGAAAATTTTATGGAAACAATTGATAACAACTATTAAAGTGTAATCAATTTACTGTTGACTTTTTTTATTTGCAGAGCAACGACTCGGCAGATCGACAAAGTTTTCTTAAAACGTTCTACGTACTAATTTTTTACTCGATAAAATTGATTAGTAACGATAAGGATTAGGTAATCTAAGAAGTTTAAATGCTACTTTCAAAATAAAAAGTAGATCACGAGTTTTTCTGTTTATTCTAATTTATTCGTAAAGAAAATTTATTGTGACCATTCGATAAACAAAAACAGACTCTTGTTAATCGAGTTAAATCTACGAAATTTATTTATCACAATTTTCATTTGATGGTGTTATGATCTGAAAATGAATTAGTTTCTATTCTCGAATTTATGAATGAAAACGAGTAAATATCTTCTATTGATATACACTATATGGTGAAGATTTCAGTCTGAGAATCTGCATAGCGATAATTTCATTCATCTTAATCTAGTTGCCGTCTGGTGAAAGCTATTCTACAATGCATTCTTATTAAATCTAACAACTATGCTTCAGTATTTGAATTTTTATCTATGTAGTCAGTAACAAATATACTTTAAGATTGTCTCGCTTGATATATGTGCTAGTTGATATGATTTACAAGATGATTCATTTTTTTCATAACTTCAATCTTCGTAAATTTCCACATTGCTAGCACATTGACTAAGAGCACGAAACAAAACGGTATCGTGCATCACGAGTCAATTCCGTAAAAATGAATATGATTTAGTTGATCTATCAAATGATTCATTTTCTATTTCTTTCTTGTCATATAATTTTACAAAAACAAAAGAAGAAATTACGCATTATTTTTACTTACTTGTGCATCGAATACTCTTCCAACACCGCATGGTTCTTGTTCAATGTCACATAGAATAAATCCAGAAGAAATTTCCTAAAAAATATTCATAAACAACAAATCCTAAATTAATAAAAAATAACAAAAACTAACTTCTTCTTCAACATTTTTCAGTTTTAGTCGCACATTTTCTCCACACACACACGAATCAGTTTCGATATCTTCATAATAAATATTTGTTACTTCAACACGAGTTCGATTTGGCATAAGCAAACATCGATCACCAGTACGACAACAACCAGATTCAATTTTACCCATAACAATCACACCCATTTCCTATGTATTTGAATATTTGATCGTAGTTTTACTATTTCAAATAATTTAAACAAACTCTGTATCTTTCAACAATAGGCATACGAAGTGGACCATCAATATTTCTATAAAACGATGGTAAACTATCCAAATATTCAATAAAAGTTGGTCCTCTAAATAATAGAAATGATTTTTGTTTTTTATTTTGATCTTTATATTGAACACTCACTTAAACCAAGGCAATATTTTTTCTCCAGGATGTTCGTTTAGTAAAGCTCCAGTCATTCCACTACAAGGCATAAAATAAGTATCTTCGCCTGGTTTGAAACCACATTTTTTCAAATAAGGTGTAAGTTTATCACGAATTTCATCATATCTTGCTTGATCCCAATTAACAGTTGGATCATCCATTTTATTAATAAGAACAACTAAATAACGAACGCCAGCTGTTTTAACTAACATAGCATGTTCACGTGTTTGACCACCACGTTCAAAACCTGTTTCAAATTCTCCTTTACGAGCTGAAATCACCTAAGCAAAGACAAAAAACCATAAAAGATCTTTTTGGTATTTTAATTTAAATAAATATTTCTTAGAAAGACTAATATAATTACAAGAATAGCAATATCCGATTGTGCTGCTCCACCAATCATATTTGGGACAAAACATTTATGACCGGGTGCATCAAGAATAATAAAATGTTTTTTTTCAGTTTCAAACCAAGCTCGGCCAACTTCAACTGTTATTCCTCTATCTCGTTCTTCTTCATTTGTATCTAATGCCCACGATAAATACCAAGATTCACGAGATTTTTCGCGAGCTTCATTTCGATATTTTTCTAATGTTCGTTTATCAACTTGTCTTGTTAAAAACCTTCGAAAAAAAGATGCAAATTAAATCATATTTACCATTTGTTAGAAGCTATACATAAGTTGTCCACCAATTGTTGATTTCCCTGCATCGACATGACCACAAAAGATAATATTGAGAGGCTCCTTTTTTCGTACAATATCTCGTTTGACAACATTTTTTTTCTCTTTTGGAACTACTGATGCACTAGCAGCATTCGTTTTATTCGTTGTTGCTGTTGTTATTGATGTTGATACCGTCGTTGTTTCATCAATTACTCCTATATTTATATATATATATTTATATAATCTGCATAACAAAAATGAAAATTGTCTAACTTTCTCTATCTTCATCAGTAACATCATCGAGTTCTATTGGTTCTACAGTAGTAGTTGGTTCTTTTACTTGTTGTTGTTGAATATTGAATTTATCTGTTTGTATAACTTCTGCTTGTTTCTTTTCATCTTCAGTGGTATTGCGAATCACGCCAGATGTTAACAGTGAAGTTGTCGAGACTACTGGTTGAGTAATCGTTGGAGCTTGTGAAAATCCAGAACCAAAACACGGTACAAATTCCATAGCATTCACATTTAAAGCTCCGAGTTTGTTAGTAGCTGAGGATAACGAAGAGTTTTCTTCTTCTGATTGATCCCAATTAGTTGGGGGCTCGGCCATTTTCGAATCTTAGCTTGCGATCTTTCTACTGAGCTATACTTTTTATATTTGTAGAAATTTCGAAAGACTAGTAATACTTTGTTGCGAAAGAAACAGAATAATGTAAGAATTACTAATGATTCATTCTTGCTTGCTTGTTGGCTTATAGGAAATAGCCATTTGTAATATATACATGATTAAAATTATTTGTCTCTTTCTTGTTTTCACGGCTTCGATAGATGGCGCGTTTTCTTTCATTTTGATAATCAGTAAACTAGCCCTAGTCGAACTTTTTTATTCATACGCTTGCAAGACTTAAGCTCAAGATGTGTCCATAGCGCATGACTCTCTTGCTCAAGACAAGCGCTTCAATGTTTGCCTGAGTTACAAAAAAAAGCAACTATAATTTTTTTATTAAAAGTTGAATTATTGTGAATGGAAAATGGAAAAGAAAGTTGAAAAAGTTCTTTAATAACAGAAACGCTTAGATAAAAATTCAAGCGCATGAACAAGAAGTTTAAGAACTTGAGCTCATCGATAGGGTTCATGTCTTGCCTCAAGAACTGCATGCGCTCGCAAAAAAAAGTTCGGCTAGGGAGAAGAAAACGTCTATTGTCGTTGTTGTGCAGATAATATTCAAAATCAACAAGGGTCTTTAAATGCAAAATATTGATCTAGTATGAAAATCAAATAATAACAGAAGAAAAATGGATACTACCTTTGTTTATTTATCGGCTTTCATTAACAATTAAATGATTTATTGATAGAAGAATGAATATTCTGGTTTAATATTCTTTGTGAATAAGTGTCACATTTCTTACAGATTACATTGTATTTGAATACATTAGAAATATACTTTCTCCCTAGTGTGTTGCAGAAACGTATGAATAATTTAATATTCACGGAAACTTTTATTTATGTATTCATTCATATTCAATACTCAATTAGAGATTATCTCTAAGATTTTTATTGAATAGCCAATGGAAAATTGTTCAAACGTTTTTTTTTGCATCCGGGCAAGTTTGCAAATGCTTACTCAGACACTAATGAAGACTTCAACGAATCTCAGGAGATTACTGCAAGTAAACTTATAAAAATACGAACTGTTAAATTGTTTCTCAAATTTCAATTGACAAGTGTTCTAGAAACATTGATGTCTTCAATTTTCTATAATCATCAGAATGCTAGTATGATATATCATTTTTGTATATAATAGATTAATATTTGTGACATCAATCAGTATAAGAGACAGTGGCGTAGCCAGTAGGTTAGCAATTGGGCAATTGCCCACATTAAAAAGAAGATTAAAACCTGTGTACATTTAAAAATTTAAAGAGTGTTTTATTTCAATGCATTTTTCTCTTGATGAGATTTAATCAAGTGATTTACAAAAATCAATTTTCAATCTCTTCCAGTAAATAACGACTTCTATAATACAGATATTTAAAAACAAACGTTATTGCTAACTAGAGTTCTTAATTGCCCACTATTGCCACCCACTAAAAATAATTTAGCTGGTAAATTGCCACCTACTTAAAAATCCTGGCTGCGTCACTGATAAGTTTTTTTTTATCAGTGATAATAAATATGAATCTGTCGGCAATTTTTCATTGATCATCATAGAATTGAACAAGAAAGTATATATGGATTATACTGAGAAATAATCATCTATTATTAACAATATTCTTAACAACTACTTCATTTAGCTCAACTAATACACTCGATCAACGTGAAATCTAATAGAATCGATTTTTACTATATGAATTCTCTTTTGAATGAGACCAGTACAGGTAGTAATTGTCGATATTTTCGATTGAATCAGCTTCAACTCAAATAAAATTTCATTTAAAAGACTTTGCATAAATTTTTAACAAAACATAGACTACATCTATTGGACTCGAAGATTTACTATTGTTTATTTTATTTTATTTTATTTTTTATCTTATTAATCTGTCTTTTTAGTAGACAGCTGATTAATATTTCCATCGAGTTAATCTTAAAACAACGATATAGTTGAAATTTTACAAGACCCGTTTCGAAAGAAATAATTTATTTTGAAAGTAATTTTACTGAAGTTCTATTTATTATTTTGCTGGGCTTCGTTTGTTCAAGTATGATTTTTTTCGATGATTGCGAATAATTTTTGATATAGTATGATAATTGAAATCAACCTCAGATTAAGCCATGAATATAATATCAAACAATGTACATTGTTTGAAGAAAAGTTAATTAATTAATTAATAGAGAATAGAAATAGTAGAAAGAACAGATTTTTAAAATTTCTGATTCCTTGTGATTAAAATTACGAAATAAAACTTGATGATTTCATTGATATATTTCATCTTACATATGTTCTGTTTTAGTATTAATCTGCATATATCTTTTTGATAAGTACTCTCATTTCAAATGAAACTTGAATAATTTTATTGTTTTATTCTAATTGATCTTCATTCAGAAGACAAACGCTGAGTAACCGTTGGTTGATGAGAAAAAGAGAAAACTGCCAGTATGTTATTCGAATTTATAATGTGCATCATACTAGGTACTTTAATATTCAGTCTGATATTCATGAAACGTAAACAACATTGCTTGTATCAAATTTTATATACCTTTCTTATTTCTATACGTAATTATTCAAATTTTTGCTTTGCAATACTGTGGTATTCTATTCTTTGTTCATTCGTATGGATTTGGAACGATTTTCATAGATCCTTGATTGCTAGTATTATTATTAGTTAGTAAAATGTAACTATTGCGTTGTGCCGTATAACTCAATAGAATACACTATCTTTCAAGTTCATTGGTGTTTATTGCAGTCATTTCCCTAGCATTTTGTTTTTCTATAATTCTAAAGTATGGATGATAATTTTGAATTTCAGTTCAAAGATATTCATGCTACACCGATAAATAGACTGAGTAAGATTGGACGAATAAAAATTTGAGCTAATAAACAATTTAGCAAAAAAGAAAAAGTTTTTTCTGAACTACAATCATATTAGAACTTGTTTCAATTTATCATGAATTGAAAATAATTAGTAAACATGAAATAAATAATTCTCTTTTTCTATTCATTAAATACAACAAACAAAAAAAGATTCAAAGAATAACCAGTGAAGATTGATCAATAGTGCTAGAAATCGATACCGTTGTAGTTGATTGAGATCTAATTCTATTAAAATAATGCTGTTGAATCATTCGTTTTAATCTATCTTTCTCAATTGATGATTCCTGTCCATATTTATAAGCTAAATGAGGCATCTGTTTTAATTCCTGTAGATTTTCTCTAAGAAAAATTCTATTTAACAAGTTGAAATCTTCTGTTGCCGAATCTGAACAAGGAGTTATTGAAGATTGTTGAAAAAATTTAGCTCGTTGTCGATATTGTTTTGCTTTTGCTAAATGTTCTTTTCTTTGTTGTCTTGTCCAATATCGACCTTGTTTTAATTCACTCATTGGCTCATCATCGGTTGTTTGATATTGTTCTTTTAAATACTGTTCACGATAACGACGCCGAAAATATTTTAATGTTAACGGATTTCGATTATGTCGAAAACGATGAGAATCTTTGGATTGAGATCGGCCACATACTAAACCACTGTCGCTATCATCTGGATATTCTTTTAGAAAGATCAACAAAATAAAGAAGAAAAGAAGAAAAAAAACGCTTTTGTTTTTTACTTATTGAACTTTCTTGTTGATGATGAAATGGAAGTGGCTTAAGAATTACTTGTTCATTATCTGTTGTTATTCCAATAAGACTTTGAGAACGAATGAACAACTTTGTTTGATCGATTTTTTCTGTTATTAAGGAACATGGTCTTATATCATTTAATGATAAACAACGACGATATTGAAATTGGCGAGAATACGATTGAATACGACGACAATTCGAACAATAATTTAGTGGAGATGCCGATAAACTTATACAACTCTTCAATAGATTATTACATTCATTGGATGATCTCTGAAGAAAAGATTTTTTCTAAGTGAAATTACAAAGAAAACAATAACAACAATAGAAAACTGTTACTTGATGTATCCAATCATTTGTAGTTTCAAAATCAGTATTACAAGCAAGAGTAACACCACTATCATCTTCAGTTAACGGTATTGATTGAATTATTGGAAAATTTTGATTTGGAAACTATTGAAAAAAGAAAAGAATCATATTGATATTATATAATTACATACACACATGCGTATAATTTACTTCAAATCGAATTATTTGTAAAAGTATACGACAAGCACCATTGACAAGATTAATTGCTTCGTCTCGACTTGTAACACGATGATTGTTTATTTTGATAATTTGATCACCGCTTCGAAGTTCACCTTGATGACCAGCGATACTCTCTTCATCAACCTGTTTAATACTCATTCATCATTAATTGAGAAAAAAATTGGAAAAATGATCTCTACTTGTTGAATATAAATGTTAGTTGTTGACTTTGATGTTATACCATAACAAAGAGTTAAACCTAACCTTTCATTTGGATAATTTCGACGAAGAGTTATATTCTTAAATGTAAATAACTTTTTGATAGTTAATATTTACATAAATAAGCGATTAGTTCATTATTTTATAATAAAATAAGACTATCGGTTTCCGGTCGCAAGAGCAATACAAGGTCGTTAAACCCAATGAATAGCTATTCAATGATTGAAAATAATACAAAGAGAAAAGAAGCTCAGCAGGTGGGTTTTTTTTCTCTCGTCAGGTCATAAAAGATTTGATTAGTTATCGAAATTTGTCTGGACTTTTTTCTTTCTATTGTCATTTAATCTATCAAATAGATCAATATAAAGAAGAAAAGAAATACACTTACTTTTATTAAAATACCGTTACTTAATATAGAAGAAGATCGTTGGGATAAACGATGGCTAATAAAAGAATTCAATGAACATTCATAAGAATATTTATTCGTTTGTTTTGAATTATTAGTTTTGCATGGAGAAGATTTGTTTATACTGAAATAGAAAATAATTTACGATAAATTTTATTTGTGACATGAAACAACGCTGAAATAGGCTCGAAGGAAAATACATTTGTTTGATAAATATTGACGATACAATCATCGGTATTCATCGTAGAAAATATCAAATCTCTGTGGGAGCCAAGAGAATGTCACTATTGAATATAATACAGGATAACGACCAGATGTCAGAAATCAACCATAGAGTTACAGTTGTTTTAAAAAAGTTAAATATCTATTTTATTGCATTAATTAGAAAAGATTGACTTTGATTTTAAGCTAAGAAGCACACTAACTAAAGAGTATTCAATTTTATATCGATAGCTTTCGTTTATTCTTTACTTAATAGTCAAATGAAAAAAAAAGAAGAATGAAATGCATAGGATTTCATAGTTCTAAATATGAATATAATCAAAGAAGAAAAAAAAGCAAGTTCACATCTATTAAAATCATTTTCGAGCAAAAACGAAGTTACATTTTCTCTCTTTCCTATATTTGTCAAGGCTATTTTGTCCTGTCCAATAATGCTTTCTATGACCTCCTGATCTTTTCATTCGTAAAGCCATAGGTACACATTTACCTGTTCTGTTGTTGAATAGTGTGATTTAGATATGTGACATTGACATAGTGTTGATGATGGGATCTGATCGGAGTCGGTTCAGTACGATTAATGACTTTGCTATTTGTACTAGCATTGTTCACAATACCATGTTGCTAAACAATTGATGAACAAAGAATAAAACAAGAAATGTCACAATCAATCGTAAAAAAAAACATGTCTTAATAAGAACGAAAGAAACTAACACTATTGTATGTGCTAGGAATCGTATATAAACATCACACGTACGGAAGCGTTTTTTTTTATCCTGACAACACTGTAAGTTGACGATGGATCAAATAATTGTAATTTCTATTGCTAATTAGAAAAAGAACTTAATTTATTGGATTATCTCAAAGGATATATAAGAATTAGTGTCAAACGGTTCTTTTTTTCTCTTATTCTCGTTACATTCCCCTGTCACTTTCGGTTGTCAGAAAAAATAAAGAGATGAAACTAATACAATTAACATAACGGATGTAGATAAAAATTAATTCGAGAATAATGACAAGTTTTGCATTAGATTGATCATCAAATTGATCTTAAGACTAAGAAAAGAGGAAAACTTAGTGAAGCGTACAACATACATGGTCGATTAACAGCATTCCGCCTTACGTCGACGAACATGACATAATTATTATTCTTTCTCTTGCACGTTCACACATAAGGCACTTAATGGCATCCTACCATCACCATATCATGTCCTCAGGCAAATACGGACGTGTGTGTGTGGAGATGTTTACATGAGCTTACGAAGTCATTGTTCATATTCCTCCTTTTGTGCAAGCTCAATTAACTTCCTCGAAGCTATTTCATTTCGATTCTATAATCAGACATTCCTTTGTTAAACTCACTTTATAATAGAACTTCTCTTTTAGTTTTACTAAAATTTTCTCATAATTCATGATCAAGAATCTATTGGGAAACGATTCTCAATCAATATCTGTCGATCGTTGAAGAAGTCTTTCTTTTTACATTCGATGTTTCATGTTACAAAACAGATCATCAATCGTCTCGTGTGATTTAATCATGATCAGTTATTGTAACTTTTCTTTTTGTGTCTATGTTGAAATTTCCCTTGAGAAACTAGAAATGAAACTTACGTGTGTCTTCAACTTTCTCCTTTTCTTGCCCAATGATGATGAGGATTCATTTGAACCACAAGCAAAAGCATTTAATTTTAAACAGCAATTGGCAATGAAATAACTCATTTCTTCTTTATCTTCTTAAAGATTGCAATAAATATCGATTCTCATACAAAAGAAGTGGGTGCTTGTGAAACGACTCGATGTTGTATTTCTGTGTGTTGGCCAAAAACGCCAACGATTATACGCACAGAGACTGAATGAGAAGAGAAGGAGAAAAGGGTTCTTTTTTTCTTTTCTTTTCTCGTCTTCTCTCAACATAGGGGCTGAGTATTGAGAAGAAAGAAAGAAGAAAGATCTAGCTATGTATTCCGATAAAGCATAGACTAAATATTTGTTTGTATATTGATAGTGTAATATCTTATGTTCTTTTTCTTTCTTCTCGCCTCTCTCTCTCTTTCTGATCAATCTGAGTTAAGGAATGCAATGATCGTCATTGCCATATTATACCTGTTCTGTCGATATTATTATAGTTGCCACAAGGATCAACCAAGAAGATGATACCGCGTATGCTGCTTTTTACAGATGACATGATAACAGCTCTAAATGTTAGGTATGTCAACAATATCATATATGATCCTCAAGAAAGTAATAACCTTCATCATTGATGACTTACACATACTTGGTTAAAACCTTTTCTCAGATACGTATTATCAAATATTATTCCCCTCAAGTTATTATACTTTAGGAATAGACTGACAGCATCTTTTTGTCCTTTTTATCCAATACGAATTGAAATGTGTAATTTTAACTGATTTTCTTCTTTGTCGATTGTTCTACATGGTTTATAATACTCTCTTGTTATTATCAAGCAATTAATGATCGATCGAACCGATTAATTTATGTAAATTGTTGGCATAATATTTATTCTGATAGAAAAACCAATACATATGTCGACTTTAACCTAGAATTGCCACATTTCTATTTTTCATATTAATGTTTAATACTATGGAAATCTATTTCAATAAGTTCTTGGAAAAATCAATACAAGCAAATTTGTCATTGTGTGTTTTCATATCTAAAATCTAAATTAATCTTTTTCGTTACGTAGATCAATAAAATTTATTAATCAATATGAATTAATGAGATAGAAGTCAGCTGGTAAGCACATGTCACTGTTATTATCTTCTAATGTTTCCTAACAAAAGTCTGTTGCTCTAAATGAATAAAGATTATATTGATATGATTACCATTGATCTATTTGCTGTGAATAAGAATTTCATTTAAGATCGTGTATATTAAATCGCATAAAAAGAAACTTTCTCAGCATCGATGAATTATCTTGTGTATATATTGCATTTCATTTATTATCACCACAATCACCGTTCGGATAGTTGTCAATCGAATAGTTCAATCGTAATTAAGAAATTGACGAAGGTCGACATGTCGTTGATAATCTTCATAGTTTGACATGATTATGTTCAGTAATATTCATCAATCAATATACTTTAGTTTTCATTCTCAAGAGTGATTTCTTTTTTGATAAGAAATAAATCTGCTATTTTTATTGCTTCGAATAAATTCAATTCGATACTAAGTATGCTTATCACGCATAGGTTCAGTTGGCACCTACTGGGCTTATCTTTATTCATCGTTAACTATGTTTCTTGGCATTTTATTTCTATCGACTACTGTGATATCCGGTTATTGATTTTTCATTGCATTTTGAAAGTTTATTCAATACTAGAAGCTACAAAACTTCATTTTCTGTAGGCTAAACATTGAAAAATATGTAAAAACTGAACAAAAATTCTAGTAGTTCTTCAAATGAATACATAAATAATATTTAGTATTGTGTACAATCAAACCGATTAGACAAATCTTAGCAATACTGAATTTCATGATATACTCGTGTTCTATTCAAACTATTTAAAATTTTCATGTAATTTATTATTAGCTCTTACAAAAAACTAGTAACATTATAAATATATTTATGCATAGATTAACTTTTAAGTTAGTAATATAGTAGAATTTTTACAGTTTGCATATTTCTATAGTAATTATCATAGAATTGTCATTTGCTAATAACATAAAAGAGTATTACCATCGATTAAATATATATTATTCATTAGTATAGAAACAGATTTTATTCAAATTATACATATTCTACTAGATTGTTCTAGTAAATAGCCGTAAAACTGTAAGGTAGATGATGAGACATAAATAAAATGATAAAATAATCCTACAATTTATCAAAATGTTTACTTGCTTAATAAGCATTACTCCCATGTCACTTCGTTGATTCGTAAAAATACAGAAATTAAAAAAAATCAATACAAAAATATATTTCGAAAAGTATGTTTGAACTATTTGTTTAACGATTCAGAATACTTTTCTTTGGTTATATTATTTTTAAATATTTTTTCGAAGAAGTTGTGCTACTGTATCTTAAGTTTTATTTTAGCCTGCAGTTATTCTGAGTGAATAATTGGAATGACTTGAATTTTGATTTATGTATGCATCATCCTGTGTCATCTAATGAATTTGATAATATAAATGAATCTCTATATATTTTCTCAGTATCTCTTTTAGATTTTTATTGTTTCTGATTGAAATTTTTTTTTCGAAAGAGAGAGCAGAAATCTAAATAGAAAACGTTCGAAAAGCATTGATTGTAATGATAAAACTAACAAATTTCTTTGGCAAATACTGTGTTTATGAATTTAAAAAATTTTTTTAGCATAAAATCGAGTTGATTGCATTTTTAATTTTGCTGAATAGTCTTCTTAACGAACATCTTAATTAAGAAACAAAACAGTTCTTTCTTTTGAACTTGAGAGAATAATACGCCTTTGCATAAAATATTTCCATGTTCGAAAACCGAAGATTTATCCAAGGTACTGATTATTCTTCGGGTAAACATCATTTTTATTTGATCAAGTTGATGATTCAATTCAAGGTAGTTTTACTGAATTATACCTAAATGAATTATTGTTCTTGAACAATTTAGCGTCAGTCGCGGATAATTAACGATCATAAACAATATATCTCGGACATAGAATTTTTTTCGGTCGTTTCTAAAGTGGTTTTATACTTCTTAGATTGGATCAGTTCGATCACATGCATTTTTTTTCTGTTTACTAGAAAGAATGAAACAGTTAATGCAAGAGTATATAAAAGAATTTCATTGGAAAAGTTTTTCGTAGATAAGAAAAAAATCTCCAAACGAAAGTTATTAGGAAAACTTTCCACATCTTAGATTACAAATGACTGAATAACCAATGATTTTATTAGAAATTTTAATTGAGATCTTGTAAAACTGTAGCAGAGTTTCATATTAATATAGTAGACAGAAAATCTCTCATGAATCCTATTTCACATTACACTTTAACTATTGGCATATAATCTGTTGTTATGAAAAATCATTCATAGAATAAGATGACGTCGTTAATATTGTTAGTATCAAACAGTGTAAAACAGTCGTAATATTTCCTTTTATTGACTGAGATATTGCTCTCTATCTCTGTGATACGAAGTGTAGACAAAAAGATTAGAAAAAAATCTTTTTCTATTAAAATCTTTTTTTCTAAATTCAAATAAGTTGTAGAAGATTTTAGTTATATGTGCTTTACTAATATATTTTATGACTTTAGTTGACTATTTCTGATCACATTTCTCTCGTGGTAATGAAAACAAAATCAACAAGTCTCGTTGAATATTGTGTTTTATAATGTTATTTCAAAAACAAAACGAATATAGAACTTTAACAGAACATTTTGAAATTTTTTCTTGTTTGAAAATTAAAAAATGTATAGATATAATTTAGATATTGATTCAAACACTCAATAATTCTAGTAAATAATTATCTTTTTGAAAACTGTATCGGCTCTTGAATCTTATGATTTTCTGTTTCTCATAACTAAACCAGTGTAACATTTTTGACCAAATAAAAAATACTTCCTTTATGTTAATTGTCAGTCTTTAAATAATATTTTAATGGTCGATATGCAAAGAAAGAAAAAGATAAAATATCTTGATAATGAATATTGTAAAACTAACGAATGAAATATTATTTTAAAAACCTACAATGAAACATGAATTCTAAATCTTTAAATTCGTACAACTTCCAGTAAAATTCAAAAAATGTATTCCATTGTCTTCAATGAATGTCACTATTCTGTTACTTCGATTACACGTTAAATATTGAAATGAAATTTTCTTCATTGTGATTAGTATTTCGCATTATACATGCGAGTTCTTATCATAAATAGAAAAATGTTTTATCTTTAATGTACATGAATACATTTTCTTTTTCAAATCATCACAAAAAATGATTTTCAAGTATTGTTGTTGTTTTTATTTTTTCAAACTTATTTCTTGAAGATGATCAGAAAATATAGTGAATGTGTTAATAAAATTTATCTTAAAAAATTTAAGTTTATTTTTATCTTGACCATAATATTGATTAATTTTGGTTAATTCCATATCAAGAAGTTTAATTAATGTGGTTAATTTTGCATGTGGAATTTTTTGCTTTAATAAAAATGTTTCATAATAATAAACAAACAACCAGACAGAAAGTATCGTTTGTAGATTAATGTATTCAACAAAATTATAATCAGAAATGGGATAAGTTTTGTAAGAATCCAAAATAAGAATAAGAATTCGATGAATAACATCCGATGAATTAACATTCTAAAAAATAGAAAAAGAACATTTTCTTTTGTTGTTCTATTTAGAATAAATGAAATACTACATAAATCTGGTATGTTTGTTCATAAAAAAACTGAAATAGAATTTGTCCAAATTGATCTATTTGTTGTTTAACTTCAAAGGAATTTAATAATGATGCTTGATATGCTGAATGAATATTTTGAAAGATTTTTATTAATTCATTAGATAAATGTGTTAACTGTTCAACAAAACGATAGTCTTGATGATACGATGAATGAATTTGTTGTTTTGATGGTTTTCCATAAATAACATTATCTCGATCCATTCCAAGGCGTTTACATTTATCAAAACGACAACCAGGGCAGTTATTACGATTTTTTGTATTTATTTCACATCGAATTGGTGAACATGCTTGTGGAATTGAATACAATGAAAGACTAGTTCGACGAAAAAATGCTTTACATGCTTCACATGTTAACACACCAAAATGTATTCCAGATGAACGATCATTGCATACAAGACAACGATCACTGCAGCGAGGAACTAATAATGAAGATAATGAATTATTGATATTGCATCGATCAATTGTTGAATCAACACCTAAAATAACATAAGACAAAAAAGAAATTAATAATTCCCTTTTCTTTTTATTAATCATTAAAAAATACCAGCAGCGTCTAATTCATTGATGCGAGGGTGAGATCTCGAATTTGTATAGGTAGTTGATGGATATGTTGATGAATTGTCTGAATAATATGATAAACTATCAGTAGTTGTATTATTATTGTTTGATCGAAATGATATGGAGTCGAATGATGAGATTTCAGGTGGAACAGATAACGGATAAGAATAGATTGGAAAATATGACGAACGATTAAGCATTTCAAATGATGAATCCATTTATCTAAAATATGTTGTTTGTAATTTAAACTCCTATGACATAAACATATGTTCATCAATTCAATCGATCTGTATAGATTATAATTTAAATAGCTCAATTACATATCTTTGTTCTACATCTGTTATAATCTCATAGAAAACAAAATATTGATAGTATCGCAAAATAACATTGAATCATTAAACTTTCTATATGTATTTTTTTCTATCAATGATTATTCATCAAAGTTATAATATATATATATATACTTGAATGTCTATTTCTCTCTGATGCGGAAATATTACTATTTTGACATCGTCACGAAAATTTCTTAAAAATGGTAAGCAAATCGTTGTAAAAGTGTAGATATTCAGATTCAGATTTATTCTATGTCTTCGAATAACTGTAATTTGAAATTTCTGATTTCTATTTATCTTCCTTTCGCTCTTCTTTATGAATATTCATTTAGAAAGATTTGAAAGATAAAAATCATCACATTATTTTATATCATCGTAGATTAGCATTAATCATCTCGTTATTGATTACTATGCATAATAGTTCTGTTATAAACATGATACTATTTTGGTTTATATTAATCGTTCTATAACTAATAATAATCTTTCCTTAATCATGTCACTTACTATTGAATAATCATTCAATAACAATAATATGCAGTTCGCGAAAGGGATTGAATTGAAATAATCTTGTGATATAAACTTAGTGCTTTTTCTTCTTCTCATTATTCATTGATAGAACGAAATCATTCAACTTATGATATTTATGTGTGACTGTCGCTTTCGCGTTCTCATATTGAACACTTACTTGTTAACATTTTACTATTCTTCAGAGTTGGTTTTGAAAAGCACACATCAAATTTGAAATAAAAACAAAGAAAAAATTTCTTTAACTTTTTGCAGGTGACTAAAATAAGAACATACTCTTTTCTACAAAAATAGAATCAACTATGCAATGAACGAGTAGATTTGTCGAAGTATTTTATGCGCTCTTTTCTTTTTTTTTCTAAGAAAGAAGAAAAGATCATTTGCCAACTAGATTGTTCTTCTCGATTAAACTACGTATATATAGATGATGTCTTTTTTTTCGTCGCAAAAATAAACTTTTTCTATTGTCAGATGTTATATTTGATTTATTTAACATACATTGACGATAGAATTTTTCTTTTTGTTCAACTTGTTTTTAAATATTAAATTAGATTTTTACCAAAAATTTTCTTTTTCAAAAGCAGTAAAATCTTCTTACCTATTTATTTATTTTCGTATTATTAATCGAAGAAAATGCTCAACTATGTTCTTTTTTAGAATCTATCTATTCGCTGGTCATTCGGTCAAACAGATATCGATCAGTATATTTTTCTCTTCGAATCCAATCAAAACAAGAGAAACAAGAAAAAAAGAAGCTCTGCTTCTCTTTATCTCCCGCAATTTTATTGTCTGTATGATTTATGATCCTTTTCCAAGTGACCGATAAGATCAATTTTTTTCTCAACTTGTCGTTATATGACGAGTGACTCTTTAAGCGATGACAAATATTTTAGTTGAACAGAAGAAACAACAACTCTGTTCGTTTATTCGATTGAGCACGACATAAAGAGAAAAAGCATTTCAAATGATTCATCTTCTCATGAAAATATATCAAATCAAACCAGAACATTACATAAGAGTTTCTCTCTTTAATTCATTATAATAGAATTGTGTGTAACAAATGCACCAAAGAGAGAAAGACAAAATGTATTATTAAATAAACCACTGTTAGTCATGTATTATTGAGAGGCCTTCTACGCGCTTACATCGTAAACGCATTTATTAGAATTGATACATTTTTTTATCAAGTATTTATGCTACTAAAAAAAAATACAACAGATACTTTAACAGATCTGCTTACAGTTTGATAAATATTTCATTAATCTCTTTAATTCTACTATAAATTTTCGCTAATCTGACTTGTGTGTCATAGTTTGTACAGATTTCTTTTGACATAGTAGTATACATATGAAACATTTATCATATTTTACTTTAGTATCTAAATATACTTGTCGAGATTAGAAAAAAAAGTTAATTTGCTTTTTAGCCAAGAATATTTTGTTTAGTAGATTTTGCTCATTTAATTAAATATTACTGAGTGTTACGATATTATAAAAAAGAAGTTATTCAAGAATCGATGAGCTGCATGAACAGCTAAACATCATAATTTCTCCTAGATCGTAAACTTGTACTTATAAATGAACAGATTTTAAACGTTTCTTTCTTCTCATTCAACTCAAGTTAACAAAAATCAATATGCTAGTCTCTCTCGCCTATGAACACGCTATTCCCTCTGAATCCAAAATGAATTCTTTTTGATAAAAATCTAAACCATTGAGAGATAAAATTTAATTATATTTAACACCTGATCATGATCAAATTCTAATTAAATGAGAACGAAGAAATCAATAAAGCTGGTCACGAATAGTTAAATGTGTAATATTTAATGATTTTCAAAATCAATGCTTTATTGTTATTATTATCAGGGAGAAAATTGCTGTATTACTATTATTCTATTTCAATTCAGCAAATTGTCAAGTCCTATTGATATTGATTAAAGAAAGTTATTCGAAGTGATTTAATCTTTGTTTAACAATTTTATTTCACTCTCATAATAAATCCATGAATAAAGAAACTTTATAGACAAAAAAACGAGAAAAAAAGAGTTTCTATTAAGTAGTTAAGAAATGCAGAAGACAAAGCCGGAGCAAAGCGAGAAACCAAGCACCTTGAGAGGAAAAATGAACTATTAGAAAAATATTATTTACAGAGAAGAGAAAAAAATGGAATGACAATAGATTGAGTTCAGCAGCACCAACAAATTCACCATTCATTGATATAATCAAATCCTGAAAAATTTTCTTGATCTTCATCACGAATCGGACGGGGATCTTTTGCTGGTGTCAATATAGGTTCTTCCGATGTAAATTCTGTATCGAAATTTGAAACATCATCAGCACTTCGCTAAAAACACAAATGAGAATATATTCATCACTTAAATTGATTTCAACATAGAAAAAGTAAATGAATACAAACCACAATAGGAACAAACGGTGGTTTTATCTTTTTCGAAAGTAAATCTTCCCAAATAATATTCTATAATACAAAAGAAAAAATAAATATAAATCGAGTCATGGTGAAAAATAAGTAAACCTTAAAAAATGATTGTCGTTTAACATCAGCAGCATCATGTTCGCCAGCACCTAATCGATGTGAAACATTTTTACGAAGAAGCTTCAAATTAAGTTTAAAAAAAAAGTTTAAATTTAAAAAACAATTAAATATCATGATAAAAATTATACTCGTTTCATAATAGTTATGGATTCAACCGAGAGAAATTTTGGATATTTCACTTCATCATTGACAATTGAATCGAAAACTTCTTCTTCGTCGTCACCTGGAAATGGAGATTCTCCAACCAGCATTTCATAAATTAAAACACCTTTGAAAAGAAAAATCAAGAAAAGAATTGTTTAAAAAGAAATTTTTCTTTCTTGTTAGAATTACCTAAACCCCACCAGTCAACAGCTCGTGTATATGATGATTCAGTAAGAACTTCGGGTGCCAAAAACTATAATTTAACATCAAAATAGTTATTAGACCTAATAAATAAAACAGTTTTCTGTATTATGTTGACGTTTTTCATAAAAATTCTAATTTGAACAGTTTGTTCAAGAATAATCGAATTTTATGCATTTCAATCGTATTGCTTTCAATAGATTTTTGTTCAGATTTTGATATTTCATTTATCGACATTAGATAGTTCGTTTATGAGAAAAAAATGAATTCAACAGTTGTCATAAATATGAAAATCTATCCAGGGATGATCAAATGGTAAATCGTTTTTAAACAAAACATTCAAAATTCATTGTGGATAGCCTACTGTTATCTACTTGCTACAAGAAAGGTCTTCAAAATAAGTTTGAACTCAAATGGATTCGGATCTCAAACTTTTCTATGCGATGTGTTCTATAAGGAAATAAAATTCCGCTGTCGTTTTTTTAATTGTAAACAACTGAAACATGTATTAGAAAAATTTTTCTTTTTTTATTATTTTCAGTTATTCTTGTCAAATATGTATTGAACAATAATAAATATGATTTATATAAACAGTGAAGTTTTCTTTTTATAGTATTAGAAGATAATTTTTTTCAAAATATAATGCCGTTAGATCAAGAAAACACACAGGATTTAGGATAGAAAAAAAATACTGTATTGCATTTATATTCTTGAGATATTTCAACATATTAAGCTGAAAAAATAGCTTACCTCAGGTGTACCACAAAATGTACTTGTTGTTCCACCATAACCAATACCTTCTTTACAAAGACCAAAACTAAAAGACTAAAATGAATAAATATAGATAAATCATAAAAACTTACTCAGCAATTTTAAGATAACCTTCTCTATCCAATAATAAATTATCAAGTTTAAGATCTCGATAAACAATTTTATGTGAATGTAAAAATTCTAGACCAAGTACAACGCAAGCAGCATAAAAACATGCACGTTGTTCATCAAAAACATCTTGATGAATATGCATCATAAGATCACCACCAAATGCATATTCCATAACAAATATAACATGATCACGTGTTTGAAAACATGAATATAAATTAATTAAAAATGGATGGTGACTACGATTTATCACTTCGAATATTCGTTTTTCCGACATTAATGATTCAACTTCATCCCGTGCTAATATATCGCCTTTTTTTAATACTTTCAATGCATAATAATCTCCGCGACGTGTAAGATATTCAGCTAATATGACCTATCGTTTTTTAAAATAAAATAAAAATTATCTTTTTCGAAAAAGAGTTTCATAAAAAGAAAACATTACTTTGCCAAAATGACCACGACCTAATACACTAACAAGACGAAATGCATCAATATGAACACCTTTTGGAAATCTAAACAATAAGAATAAGAAAAAAAATTCTTAGAAAAAGACAAAATGAATGAAACCTTGAGTCAAGGAT